TTCCGGTATGCGGGCCTCTCACTGTTGTGGCCTCTCCCATTGCAGAGCACAGGCTCCGGATGCGCAGGCTCAGTGGCCATGGCTCACAGGCCCAGCCGCTCCGTGGCATGTGGGATCCTCCTGGGCCGGGGCACAAACCCCTGTCCCCTGCATCAGCAGGCGGACTCCCAACCACTGCACCACCAGGGAAGCCCTTTTTTTGTTTGTTTGTTCTTGATGCTTAGTTGTATGAGTTCTTTTTATATTTTGGATACTAACCCCATATCAGATATATCATTTGCATCTCTTATTCAGTAGATGACTTTATTGTTTTGTTAATAGTTTCCTTTGCTGTGCAAAAGACTTATAGTTTGATGAGTCCCATTTGTTTATTTTTGCTTTTGTTTCCCTTGAATGAAGAGACAGATCAAAAAATTACATATTGCTATGACTGATGTCAAAGAGTGTGTTGCCCATATTGTATTCTAGGAGTTTCATGGTTCATGACTTACATTTCGGTCTTTAATCCATTTTGAGTTTATTTTTGTATATGGTGTGAGAAAGCAGTCCAGTTTTATTCTTTTGCCATGTAGCTTTCTGGTTTTCCCATTACCATTTATTAAAGATGCTGTCTTTTCCCCATTTTATGTTCTTGTTTCCTTTGTTGTAGATTAATTGACTATATGTCTGTGGGTTTATTTCTGGGCTGCCTATTCTATTCCATTGATATATGTGTCTGTTTTTGTGAAAATACCATACTGTTTCATGTTTCAATTTTCATTAGTCTCCAGGTATTTTTTAATCTCCTCTTTGATTTTCCTCAGTGACCCACTGGTTGCTTAGTAGCATATTGTTTAGCCTCCACTTGTTTGTGTTTCATGCAGTTTTTTTTTTCTTATAGTTGATTTCTAGTCTCATAGTGTTATGGTCAGAAAAGAGCTTGATATTATTTCAATATTAAATTTACTGAGACTTGTTTTGTGGCCTAGCATAAGACCTATCCTGGAGAATGTTCTATATGCACTTAAAAAGAATGTGTATTCTGCTGTTTGGGGTAGAGTGTTCTGTCTCTCTCTCTCTCTCTCCCTCTCTCTCTCTCTCTCTCTCTCTCTCTCTCTCTCTCTATATATATATATATATATATATATATATATATATATATATATGTCCATCTGGTCTAATGTGTTATTTAAGGCCATTGTTTCCTTATTGATTTTCTGTCTGGATCATATGTCTATTGATGTAAGTGGGGTGTTAAAAGTCCCCTATTACTATTATGTTTCTGTCAATTTTTCCATTTATGTTTGTTAATATTTGCTTTATGTATTTCAGTGCTCTTATGTTGGGTGCATATATATTTACAACTGTTATGTATTGTTGGATTGATCCATTTATCATAATCTAATGTCCTTCTCTGTCTCTTTTTATAGTCCTTGTTTAAAGTCTCTTTTGTCTGATTTAAGTATTGCCACTCCAGCTTTCTTTCCATTTTCATTTACATGGAATACCTTCTTCTATACCCTCATTTTCCATCTGTGTGTGTCCCTAGATATGAAGTGAGTCTCTTGTAGGCAGCGTATATATGGGTCTTGGTTTTTTATCTATTCAGCCACTCAGTGTGGGTTTTTTTACTAATTAATGTTTTATTTTGGGTAAATTTAGATAAGTTGCAAAAATAGTACAGAGCTCCTGAACATCTTTTATCCAGTCTCCCCTAATGTTGCCATCCCAGATATCCATGGAATATTTGTCAAAATTTTAAAAAATGAACATTGGTATATAACTATTAACTAAATGACAGACTATATTCAGATTTTACCAGTTTTTTTACTAATGTCCTTTTTCTGTTCCAGGATCCAACACAGGAAAGTACATTGCATTTAATCATCATGTCTTCTTCATTTCCTAGTTTCTCAGCTTTTTCTTGTTTACAATGATCTTGACAGTTTTAAAGAGCGCTGGTCAAGTATTTTGTAGAATTCCCCTCAGTTTGGTTTGTCTGCTCTTTTTTCATGATTAGACAGAGGGTCTGGGTTAATGCAGAAAAGATAGCAGAGGTGAAGTACCCTTCCCATCACATGATATCAGAGGGTGTCTGTCAGGTTTCCCCACTGTAATGTTACTGTTTTGTCCCCTTCCATACGTTATTCTTTGGGCATGAGTCCAAGTCCCTCCTACATTCAAGGGGAGTGAACTCATGCTCAAAACTCTCATTTTACAAAGTTATAATCCAATAAACTTATTTTCTAACTCAATTTGTGAGTAATATTGGATTATAATACAGTACTTGTTTTCTTACCCAAATTGTCCCAGTTTGACCACAGAGATCTCTTTCAGGTTGGGTCTTGTGTCCTTTTGGCATCACCCAGCTCTTTCCACCCCACTTTTATTTTCAGGGAGTGCTTTCTTAATTTCTGGCCCTACAAGATGTTCAAGGTTCCTGTTGTATTTTCCCTGACCAGCCCTATGATCAGCCATTTCTCCTAGGAACCACACTCAGTGTGTTTTTGATTGGAGCATTTGGTGCATTCACATTTAAACTAGTTATTGACAGGTATGTACTTATTCTCATATTGTTAATTGTTTTCATCTTGCTTTTGTAGTTCATTTTTGTACATTTCTTCTTCTTTTGCTATCTTTCCTTATGATTTGACTACTATCTTTAGTGTTATGTTTGTATTTTTTTTTGTGTGTGTATCCTTTATAGACATTTGGTTTGGTTATCATGAGGTTTATTTATAGCTTTCTAGAAAATATTTAATTATATATATAACTGATATATATATTTATAGCCATATGTTTATATTTAATACACATATACTTTATATACAAAATATATAAATTATATATTTATATAAATATATTTATATACATAAATATATATTTATATACTTAATTTAAATATATAGTTATATAATGTATATAAATATATATATTTATATAATGCATATAAATATATATTTATATAATATATAATTATAAGTATATAAGTTATATATAATAATATATATCATATCTTTATATATATTTATGTATATTATAAATATATTAAGTATAATATGTAATTAAACATAATTACATATAATTAAAAATGCTTATCATATATGATTAAATATAACTTATATATTTATAAATATAATTTATATAATATATAGTATATTACATATGATTATTTATAGTATAATTATATATAATTATATTACACTTATATAATTATAATTTTAAAATATGTAATCATATAATTACATATTATATATTATAAAATTAAATATATTATAACTAAGCATATTATATATAATAATAAATATATAATATATAATAATAGAGTAAATATAGTAAATATAAATATGTTTATATATTATTATATATAAATTATATATTTATAGAAATATAAATAATATATAATTATATTTTATATATTATATATAAAATATATATATGTTTATATAAATATGTTATATATTAAATATTTTATATATGTATATAAATAAAAAATATATAAACATTTAAAAATTAAATATATATTTAAATTTAAATATAAATTATAAATAGAATAAAATTCAATAAATATAAATAAATAAACATAAATAAAATATAATTTTAATAATATTAAATATTATAATTTATAATTAATTATTATAAATAGTTGATTATACTACATATTCAATTATAATAAATAATTTATAAGTAAATATTTTAAATATAAATTAGAAATATATTTAAATATTTTTAATATTATATTCATATATTTAATATTTATATAAATATATTTATTTAATGGATAATATATGTATATTAATAATTTTAATACATTAACAATATATTTATATATTACTATATTGAATAATTTATATATTAATATAAATATGTAATATATATTTATACATAAATTATATATTTTTGTATTATATGTAATTATATATATCTTATATAATATATAATATAATAATATATAATTTATATATATATGTTGATGATCTCTTAAGTTTGAATCCATTCTAACAACATTTTTACTCTCCTCCATATTTACATATTTTGTTTTTGACATCATCTTTTACATCTTTTTGTTTTGTGTATACCTTTACTACTTATTGTGGATATAGATGATTTTACTACCATTGTCTTCTAAGCTTAATTAAAGTGGGCCATGTCCCATTGCAGCTGGCTGAAAGCCTGGGGGTTCCTGGGGCTGATGCCAACCTGCTCGTGGGTGGTGCCATATCACAGGGTGGCTTGTCCGGGTAGGGAGTGTTGGGGAAGCATGGACTGGTGCTAGCCCATTGGCATGTGGGGTTGGTTCCCCATGCAGCTGGCTGCTTTGCCTTGGGGTTCCCAGGACTAATACCAAACAGCTAGTAGGCAGGTGTGCTTCAAGCACTAATAGGCTAGAGGGCGGACTCCAAAGTGACACTTGCCAGCACCAGTGTCCTCGTCGTAGCATGAACTCCCCAAAACAGCTGTCACCAGTGTCTGTGTTTCCAGAGTGAGTTCCAGTTTCCTCCTATCTCTCTGGGAGGCTCTCCAAGATCAGCACATAGGTCAGACACAGGATCCTTTCAAATTAGTGTTACTGTGTTGGGACCTGGAGTGTGTGAGAATTGTTTTTACCTTTTAAGAGTGGAGTCTCTATTTCCTACAGCCCTCTGGGTCTCTTGTACTCAAGTCCCATTGGCCTTCAAAGACAGACATTCCAGGGCCTCATCTTCCCATGCAGGACCCCTGAACTGGGGAGCCCACTGTGGGACTCAGACCCCTCACTCCTCAGGAAGAACCTCTGCAATTGTAATTATCCTCCCATTTGTGGTTCACCTGGGGATGTGGGTCTTGACTACACTGCAGCTCCACACCTCATATCTGGCTCACTGTGGCTCTTTCTTTATATCTTTAGTTCTGGAAAATCTTTTCTGCTGGTCTTCAGGTTGTTCTCTTAGACAGTTGCTTGGTAAATAGTTGTAATTTTGAAGTGCCTGTGGGAGGAGGTGAGCTCAGGGTCTTCCTACTCCTCCATCATTGCCACTCCCCACCTCCCATCTTTTAAACTCTTAACATCTAAATTTATTCTGTTTTTTCCTCACATATAACTAGCATGATTTTTTATTATCCTTATAACACTAATCCTTTTACCTTTTAGATCTCATCTCTTTATGTCTATACTCCCAGTTTCCATTTCTCCCCATTATCACTACCTTTTCAAAATTCTATAATCCAGTAATTTAGGAAGTTTCTGAAGCTTATGAAACAGGCCATACTCTCTGCCTTCTATGCCGAAGTGTGTGCAAGAGTGGTTTTTCTACCCTTTGACTTGCTAACTCTTGTTCATGTTCCCAAGTTTATTTCAGACAATATCTCCTAGAATCTTTTCCTCTGAGCTGCTTATTCTAGGTATGATGTCCTTTTGCAGAACTAAACATTGTTTTAGGTTTACATTTTATTAGACTATAGTGTCATGCTTATTTTGTATCTTTCCTTCCATTGTAAGATCTTTCGACAGAGGACCTCACCCCTTTCATCTTTGTATCCTGGATACCTACTTAGCATGCTGTTTGGCAAACGGTAGGTATGTAATTAAAATTAAGGGAAAATTGACCTTAATAAACTGAGGAAATCAATTGGAAGCAGTTTAATGGATTAATAATTTGTTCAGCAAGAAGAGATTGAAGACTCATAGGTACAGAAGCACATTATCTCTTGTGAAAAATCTTTCTGTGATTATTTTGACCTTAGCTCTTAATTCGTATCTCACTGATTGGACTTAATATTTTTAATTGTGCTACGTTTGCACTTCATTCTCAGTTCTTTCAACAAGGATTCTAGTATTTGTAACTTACTTTCTTGAGATATATAGAGCCAGAGGACCTAAAAGTTAAGCAAGGGAACCACCTGTGGCCAGAAACACTTGAGGATGAACATTTTTTTTTGCAGAAATCTTATAAACTTCAAACAAAGTATTTGCTTATTCTCATCACTTAATCCTTTTTATTCTTAAAGGAATGTCAACTAAGGTATCCAAAAGTGGGAACTCTGTGGGGACTTGCCAACAGGGTGTTGCCTCAAACTTAGAAAATCAAGAACTTTTACCTTGGAAAATCACAAGGCAAGTACATTACCATGGTTCTTTTGTGAGTGACAGCCAAAATTCTAAAGGAAGCAGAGGTCATTTTCTGACCCAAGAAAACCTCAGGGATAAAGTCCCATGAAGGAAAAACCCTTCCATGGTACTTGATTCAAAGAAGTTCAAGGTTCATCTTGCATCTAACATAGAACAAACCTCTCCATTGTTTGACATAATAGGCCCAAGTAGCCATGTGGGTGAGCCTTTGGACCAACACCCCTGTGTGTGGTGAGTGTAAGACCACTTACCCTTGGAAAACACAGTTTGTCATTTGTACGTATAAGAAGACCCTTGCAAAAGTGAAAAGGGGTACCGAACACTTCCTTAAGAAAAGTTCAGATTTTGAAAGAAATGAGAAAACCCACATAGTTGATGCACAGTGTTAAAGTATTCAGTGTGGTAACGCCTTCAGTTTGAATCAACAGAATGATCACAGAAAACATGAGAGAGAAATCTCATAGATGTAATGACTGTGGAAAAGACTTCAGTGGAAGATCAAAACTAAATCTACATAACATGACCCACGCAGGAGAGAAAACTTATATTATGTGTGTGGTAAGGGATGCAGTGATTGTACACATCTTCACGTTCATCAGAGAATCTATACAGGAGGAAAGCCCTATAAATGTAATGAGTGTGGTGAGGACTTCACTACAAGTTCAGATCTAGGCACACAGGAGAGAGGCCATGTAGTGTGATGAGTATGGCAAAGGCTTCATTGCAAGTTCAAAACCCCTCATTCACCTGAGAGTCCATGCAGGACAGAAACCATATAAATGTCAACAGAGTGGTAAGAGCTTCCCTGGAGGCTCATATCTGTGTAGGCTCAGATCTGTGTATCCATCAAAAAGAGCACACAGGACAGAGACCTTACTAATGCAGGGCTTGTGGAAAGGACTTTAGTAGGGGTTCTGAACTCCACATTCATCAGAGAATCCATATGGGAGAGAAGCCCTATAAATGTAAACAGCATGGTAAAGATTTCAGTAGGAGCACCCCAAATTTCATATTCACCAGAGAGTCCACATGAGGGGAGTGTGATAAAGGCTTCAGTCTCAACACAGACCTTTGTGCTCATCAGAGTCCACACCACAGAGAGACCATTTAAATCTGAATAGTGTGGTAAAGGCTTTAGCCTTAGCATATATCTCAGAGTCCATCAGAGAGTCACACTGTGGGGAGAGCCTACAAACATAATAAATATGAGGAGGATTTCACTCAGATCTCAAAACTTGATATTCATCAGAGAATCCACAGGAAAGAAAAACTACACAGAATATGAGTCTAATTTTAACTTAAGTCAGAAGAGAAATCTTAGGTATATCAGAGTACACATTGATCCAGAAGGAAAACTGTAATCAATGCAATGACGACATTAGAGTGCACGTTTCAAATATGAGAAGAACCATGGAATTAAAATCCGAATTAGTGAGAAAACTGTAAGAAATATTTTGGGCAGAGTTCAAAACTTAACACACAGGGTTAGTTGTATCTAGGAAATAAATTCTGAAAATACTCTAAATGAAATATATGTATACATATCCACACATATGTATCTGTGTACACACGCAGACATCCATGTGTGTGAGAGATCTAGAGTGAGGACTTAGATTTTAAGTTTTGTATTTGTCAAAATTACATAATTTGTAACACTCTTATACCATACCGTTTATATAAATTTATAAATAGTAACAGAAAGCAGATCAGTGATTAACTGGAGTTAAGGAATGGGACAAGCATGAGTAAAAGGAAGGGATTATTAAGATGCACAAGATAATTTTTTGGAGTGATTGAAATACTAATTACAATGATTGTGGTGATGATTTCATATATATATATACACACACATATATGTATGCCATTATCAAATTGTATATTTTATGTGTAGTTTATTGTATTTCTATTATATTTCAATAAAACTGTTTAAAAATCAAATATAAGTGGTTTAATCAATAACTATAGAAACCCTTTTTTCAAGTGTCCTTTATGAAACCATCAAGTGTATGTTGATTGTGGGTATCTGTGTCTCTTTTATCTTAAAGTTTTTCATTTCTCTTTTCAGTACAACATTGCTCACTTAAAATCTCTTTATTACATGTATTTAAAATAGACACTGTCTCCATCCTCTGAATATTAGAAATATTATGCTCAATTGTACTAGATTATTGCATCAATTTCTTAACCATTTTTTATATGTTCCTTTGCTTTGGTTCATATGTATTGGGATGAGAAATGATAAGGAAGCTGAGACCTCCTAAGGGGAGAATTATATCAGATTTCAAAGAACTTGAATAGAGTTCTTGATAAAGAGCAATATAGAAAACATAGCTTGATAACAAGTAAAGCAACACTGCCACCCCTGGACTAGATGAAATAGTTATCACCTTAATTTCCCTTTTGTCATGCCTTCTCATGAATCTTGAATTTATTAAAAATATTTCTCATGGGCTGATATAATGTCTGTGAAATACAACTAAAAATTCTAATTCTTCTTTGAAATTTTTTAAAAAAATTATTATTGCATTCCAAAGCTTGATAACTTTACCACTGTAACATTCTGCTTTTGAATAACTTGTGGGCCTGCCCATGGTATCCCCAAATTTTAGTTAACTATCTTTAAAATGTATGTGGATACACATGTAGCAAATATTCTGTTTTACTTATTTAGAAATTCTACACTGTTTTAAAACGTCACTCCATCTCATGGGTGTATTATTAAAGGATTAGAAATGCCTTTCTACACCTGCAACTAACCAAACATTGTAAATCAACTATACTCCAATATAAAATAAAAATTTTAAAAAAGAAATGCCTTTCTAAATATGTTTCATCCAAGGTTGAGTTAGACTCCATAGTATTTTTGAGTACTTTAGGATTTAGTAATTTTAATAAAAACTTTTATAGATATTGTGCTTCCATTTTGTCCATGTTCACTGACATGATACTTTCCTGGCTCTCACAGTTCATCACATTTCTCTTAAAAACCCTAATTATCTAACAATGATTGTTCACCAATATCTACACACTTTGTAACTATATTTTTGAGGTATCATTTTACAAGTAATGCAATCGTGTTTCAACAATCCTAGAGAATGAGAACACTCCCATCTCCCTACCCTTCTTTGATGTATTCATTTATTCATTCTGTAAATATTTTACTGCCTTTTATGTACCAGAAACCCTTCAAGAAATACAGTGATGAAACTAGACAGGTAAAGTCACTAACTAGATGGAGCATAACAGAGGAGTTCTCTTTGATAGAGTGGCCTGGAAAGTGCTTTTTCAGGAGGTAATTGAGCACAGACCTCAATTAAGCAAGTGAAGGAACTAAGGGAAGATCTAGGACAAGAACATGTTGGGAGTTAGAACAGTAAACACAAAGGCTTAAGGCAGAAACAGTGTGTGTACTGATGGAGCCAATAGAAGGCCAGAGTATCTAAATCAGAGTGAGCAGAGCAGGAGGAAATGAGTGTCAAAGTGCACAAACACCAGATCAAATACATTCCTGGCAGGTATTTTGTATTTTATTTCATGGAGACCATGGGGGCTTTTAGGGAATTGTCATACGATCTGAGATTTACAGCCGTTGATCACTTTAAGGGTCATATGAAGAATAGACTGTGAGGAGGCAAGGGCAGAAGTAATAAGAACAGTTCAGAAGCTTCTCTAATTATTCCATGCAATTATGATGGTAATTATGTCTTGGGTTAGGATGTGGGTGCTAGAGACATTGAAAATTGGTGAGATTTTGGATGTATATTGAAGTTGGAACAAATAGGATTTGCTCATGGTTTGGCATGGTGGGGTAAGGGAAAGTGAAAAGATGGGCAATGTTGAAGTGTTTCTGTACCATCAACTGGATTCTGAAATAAATTTAGATAGGTAAGAGAGGCAGGTTAGTGGAAATAAATTGAGGGAATCAAGAATCTGTTTTCAGACATGTTAAGTATAAAATTCCAATTAGTCATCTAAGTGAAAATCTTTCATCCCAGTGGGAAATTCAACAAAGGAACTCAGGGAAGGAAAGATAAATTTAGGATGTGTTCTGCTCCTGTGCATGCTATCTAGAGCCTCATGACTGGGCAAGATTAGTTATACCGTGAATGTGGATAACAGAAAGATTAACAGGAGCTGAGAATTTGTGTTTTCTCTTGTGAAGAGGTCAGGTGAAAGAGAAGTGATAGAGCCAGCAAAGGAGACTGAGAAGGGAGGTAGAAGTAAAACTGGAAGAGTGCTGCATCCTCTCCAGTTCCTCTGTCCTCTTCCCTTCAAGTGAAGGATAAAGAAAGCGGAAGTAATCCACTGTGTCAAATACTGCCAATAAATTTAGTAGGAAAGGAATTGTCCATTATGTTTCTCAATTCAGAGGTCACTGGCACCTTTGGGAAAAGTGGTTCCAGGTGAGTTTTGGGGACAAAAATCTGATTAGAATGGATTAAAGATAACTGAGAGGTGAGGATAGTAACATAATTTTCTCAATAAAGGAAAGTAGGAGGAAAAGAGTGATAATTTGGGATTAGCATGGGGGGAGGGAGACTTTTAATGGAGATATTATTATATGCTTGTCAGATGATTGGAATGAGCCATTAAGAGAAAGATTGATGATGCCAGGAAAAAAAGGAAACTATTTTAGGAACCAAATATTTGAGTGAGTGGAAGGGAATGAGATCCAGTGCACAAGTGAAGATCAAGATTGATCTTAACTCATTGTAGCAGCAAGGATAACAAAGAATATGGGCCCAGTGTAAGAGATTAATAGAATTTTTGTTGATGGGAAGAGGGGTTCGTATTCATTGTTTCTACATTCTCTACTTTTTCAGTGAAATAAAATCAACAACTGGGAATAAAGAATAGGAAGTAGTTTTACAATTTTGAGTAGGAAGTGTGAAGGATCATCTCAGCATAGAAAGGCAAATTTACAAGGGAAATGTAGAATGATTGAGCGGTGCTGAGGGCCTTATTGAGGCCAAGTGTGGTCAGAACAGTGAGGTGTGTTCAGCTAAGCCACATCACTTGCTGAGGAAGAGCTTACAGAAGAAAGAGTCGGGTTTAATCACAGCAATATTTTTAACCTAGTTATGGCCTGGAAATGTTCTAAATTCTTTCTAGGTGTTAGTTTATATAATTCTCACAATGACTCCATAATCCTCATTTTATGAATTAGGAGACTGAGGCCCAGAGACATTATGCAACTGACCAAAAATGACATAGCTAGTCAATGGTAGACCCTAGTTTTGAACTTGGTCACATCGGTCTGGATATGAGAGCTCATGCTCTTAACTAGAATTGTAGTTTCATCACTGAGTCCCGTGGAGAGACGAGGTCAGACAGGATGCATGCTGGTTTGTGAATATTGTGAAAGACCCAGGAATCCAAACTATGTAAGGAGAGGGATGGGGATATGAGGGTAGTGATGGTGATAAAAATTAGTAGGGTCAATGAATTGAGGACTTCAATGGGAGTAAAAGTGTTTGTAGTTGGGGTACAAAAGTAAGTAGGTTAGCTGCAAAGATAAGTGGTAGTGGTCAGAAGTAATGACATAGTGCCCTTTATTGGTGTGGTAAGGCTTGGGATGGCTGTGGGCATAGATTGTTGAGGTGAAGAAAAGTCATTGTAAAGGCAAGTAAGAAACAGAGTCACCAATACTGATGCCAGGGGGAGTGGTAGACAATGACACAGTAGCAAAATATTCACTGAATGAAGGGGAGTGACCAGCTCAACAGATGACTGTGGTGTAGAAAGGAAGTAGGGGGCACAGTCGTATGATGCCTGCTTCAAAAGTGCTTGTATTGTATAGGGAATAATAATAGGGAAGGTCCTTTTGTATTTATTACAAGTTAATCACTAAAGGGATGTTGCCTATAAGCTTAAAATATACATGATGGCCCATCTCTGGGAACCCTGCTTCCCAGGTAATGAGCATTACCTTTGTTTAGCTCACAGGAAACATCCTGACCAGGCCCACCTGTGAATGACTGCAGGGAGGAAGAAATTAACTCATCCCCTCCAGAGGCTGATGGGAACCAGGAAGTGTTTGATTTTACTCCCTCCCCTTTTAGTATAAAAGGAGCTTGCATTCTAACTCAGTCAAGATGGTTCTTTAGGGCATGAGCCCACCATCTTCTTGGTTAGTTGGCTTTCTGAATAAAGTCATTATTCCTTGACCCAACAACTCATCTCTTGATTATTGGCCTGCAGTGCAGTGAGCAGTACGAGCTTATACTTAGTAACAGTATGTTTCGGGATACCTCCTCTTGTAAAGCATTTCTGTTTTTTTATGGCTCAAATGCCTTTTAATTACATATATTATCTGGAGTAAATGGAACTTTGAGCCAAACTTTTATCACAGGGATTCATACAGAGTTGAACTACGAATTGGGTATGAAGTGAAAAAAATGCAAATGATGAATAAAACACCCTCTATTTTTCTTGCTTCCTTTTTTCTTTCCTGTGAGTCATCAATGCTTTTCTTTATTTTTAGCTTATTCCTTTCTGCTCTAAAAAAGTATATTTCTTCTGAACTCGTCTAAAGTGGGATGAAAATGAGATGGGGAAATTTCTACAAGACATCACAGAGTGGTTAGGTAAGCAGGCTAGTCTCAAAGGAGACACAGCTGTCTCAGAGATTACTAGGTCTCCTCGCATCATCACTAGCATAGATAGAGCAAGCACTAAAGCCCTCTCCACCATTATCCAATTGTGTTGATTAGATAATTATATAATGTTAGATGATTAAATATTTGTTTTAGTTCATGATAATAAAC